TGTATCTGTATCTGTATCTGTATCTGTATCTGTATCTGTATTTGTATCTGTATCTCTATCTCTATCTCTATCTCTATCTCTATCTGTGTCTAGGCTTTTCCAGTTGGAGCTCAGCTTGAATCTCCTTAGTTTCACTCTAATTAAATGACAATTTAAAGTGAAAACACTTGCTTTATAATACATTAAATCCTGCGCAGAGCTGCCTCATAAAAATATTAATTTCCACACAGAGAGAAAAAAGAAAAATGAATAAAAAGAGAAAACACACACACACACACACATGCAGAAGAACAAGTAATAAATAATAAAATATTTAATGGACTTGTGCTTAGCGTTTAATTGCAAATATTTGCACGTTTACTTCGTTAATATTCGCATATTTTTGGGCATTGCAATAAATACAGAAAAAATAATTAACTCATTAAATAAGCATTTGGCGTTTGCATTTGCCTCTGCAATTTGCTCGCCAGCCGCTGGGCCTCGTTGCTGGGCTGCCGGCGTGTCATAAATATTGCTTAATGTTTGCCATCAGCTAAATGGCTACGTGGACAGCGGCTCTCAATGTATATGTGTGTGTGTGTGTGGGTGTGTGTGTGTGTGGGTGCTCTGTTCTGTTTTGGCTAATGCACGAGCTCTGGTCAGTTTCTGGCAAATGGGCGTGGTCTGGGCATGAAGAAAGTGTGGGGAGTGAGGGTGGTTGGGGCGGTTGGGGTGTAGGGCGGCAAGGGTAGGCAGGTAATTTTTGTTGGTGCTAGGCCGCAATTAATGCCAAATGCCAAGAGACAGGCATATGTATATGTATATGTATATGCATATGTATGTTTGTGTTAGTGTGCCATTCGGTCTGCCAGCACATGGCCGGACATCATCATTATTGTTCTTAATAACTTACAGCATATAATAAAAGCATAATTTATAATATTCTCTCTATGAGCATGTGCGTGTGTGTGTGAGTGTGTGTGTGTGTGTGCGTGTGTGTGTTATGCCTGGCTCGTTTTGCTGTTCACTTAATAATTCAGTTAATTAATTTGCACATGCACAAAAGGCAGAGTCTAAAACTCTTGGCAGTCTTAAATTTCTTACACTCAATTAACATTCAGAATTATTTATCTAAATTGTCGCACACACACACGCACACACACACGCACACGCAGGCAGGTGTGTGAAAGAAAAGTCTTGCATGTGCATAATAGTATCCTACACAACATGTATGAGAGCTGTGGAATGTCAGCAACAACAACAACAACAACAGCAACAACGACAAATGTTCCAATTGTTGGCATTTGCAATTATTCATACGCCACGTAGACAAATGTGCTGACAGGACACGTAGCTGGGACAAACAGGCGGACGGAGGACGGCGGACGGGGGACGGCAGACGGGGGACGCATGCAGGACATGCAGGACATTCCAGTTTAGATTTGTTGCCGGCTTGTAATCGTCGCAGATAATTAAGTTGTAAGCAATCGTAACTCAGCCAGCTAGCCAGCCAGGTGACCAGGTGGCCAAGTGGCCAACTGGCCAAGTGGCCAAGTGGCCAGGTGCTCTGAAGTGCGGAACGTGCGCATGCAATATGAGAAACCATTAGAGATAGAAGTATGTATGTACATATGTATGTGGGCCCACCTCGGACGCCGGCTGACTAATTGACAATGTGCTAAACACTTCAATGTGGCCAAGATAAACAAAATGCCAAGTGCTCAATCTTTAATTAAATAGATTTGTGCGTGGCCAAAAATGGCTGTGGCCGATGGCGAGGATGGGATTGGGGCAGCCGAACTATGTAAGTGGCTGCCAAGTGTGTGTGTGTGTGTGTGTGGCAGGTGGGGGGTCAAATGTCGAATATGCCAGATAGAAACTCGCATAGAGAAGGAGGGCAAGAGATAGACAATATGTTAAGCTAATATAGTCTGTTTATCTTTATGAATGGCGATTGGGGATGGGAGTGAAATATGAAAGCAGAGGTTGATTATCTCAACACAAGTTTGATAGCTATAGATGCTAGAAGACTTAAAGTACATAAACATGGTTCCTAAAAGCAAACAAATATTTCAAGTTCTTCTGTTATGTTCATTTATTTATACATGTATATATGTATGTACATATATGTAAATGCGAATAATGTTGGATTAATTAAGCTTTAATAGTAAAGCTCTCACAGTGCTTTAACTAAGCAGCAAGCAGAGCAAGAGCTTAAAGTGTACACACATACATACATATATCTGTTAGCTGTGCATGCATGTATGTATAAAAGAAGAAGAAGTCAACTGACTGGAATACATGCATACACACATGCATACACACATGTATGTAGCTTGCAGCTAGCTGTTGCCCTTTTCTTCAAGTATATACATAGTATGTACATATATATGCACACGCATACATACATACGTTTCCTTTGCTCACTCTCTGAGAGAAAGCTTTTAGGGCAGCCGCTTGCATCGCCTCTTTAACGAGCTCGGTTGCGATCGGCTAGCTAACGTTTTTGTTGCTCTCTTTTGTTTCGCTCTCGTTGTTCCCCCACGATTCGCTTGAGTCAAACTAAGCAAAGAGTCTGCTGTGTGTGTATTGGTGTTTGTGTGTGCATATGCATGTGAATGTGCAGACCGTTTGCATTGACTTTTTGAGTGATTCGCTGAGCGAGCGTCAATCGTGTCTCTCTCTCCTAAACGATGTTCATTCAGAGAGCGTCACACGAACAGTTTCACTCAAGACGCTGAAGTCCAGAGAGCAGAGCGAGATCGAATGAGTATGAGTATTCTGTTTTCGTTTGGTTTCGCGAGTAGAGTGTAAGGAGCCGCTTGTCTAAGGCATGCCTAACTGGTGCTCTCTTGGCAATATTTGCTATTCTTTATCTGCTTTCTATTGCATACTTTGAATATTTCCAGCCATTCAATTCCTTCACAACTCTATTCATGCTTATTAGAGATCCCAATGTTGATAGCTTTGCCCATCTCACGGCAACTCGCAGCATTTTGATGCAATTCAAGGCTCACCTTTAATAATCGTATGACAAAAGTCGTTTCAGAGTGGCTTGGCTGCAGCTGTTGTGAACAAATTGAAGGGGTCAGCCGCGCGGAGGGCGAGCACAAAGGCTTTCCCTCGCCCAGAGTGAAAACTTAGTGAAATGCCAGCGCGATCTGGTCTGGGCTTCTTTTGAAATTAAAAGTTGGTACTTGGAAGCATTTTTGTATGACTTTGCTCGTTATATGCCATTTCAGCCGGATCTGTGTCTTTTGTAGTTATTTACAGGCTTGCATTTAACTACAGCTGCTGCAGATGCTCCCCCGGCTCTGCCGACTCCTCCGACTCCACCGACTCGTGCTGCTGCTGGTCATTAGGGCTATCAAAAGTGAGCGAGACGGCAAAAAGATTATAAGCAAAGTGCTTCAGTTTTTGAGTCTTTGTAAATTATTAAAACACATAATTTACAAGTAAGACCAGAAACAGAGAACGCTTCAAAGGACAATGCTGACAGTGCCAGGAGTCCGGAGTCTGGAGTCCGGACTCCACTCGCCGCTGGGCCGGCCCAGCTCGAGTTGCAGGCAGCGCTGCGATGCGCTGCGGCAAGATTAAAACGGAATGCAGCAGCCAACAATAACAAAGCCAACACAATTTGTTGCAAAAGAAGTTCAGCTGAAGTTGGCAGCACAAAAAATTGCTTTGGAGCAGCATAAAGCAGAGACAGGCACAGCCAAGCGGGTGAGGAAGGAGCAGAAGCAGGAGCAGGAGCAGGAGCAGGAGCAGGAACAGTGTCCGGGTTAAGCTGAAGCTCTACCAAACAGCGTGCAATGAATTGCATTAAGTTGTTTATTAAATTCTTTATTTTGCAACAACTAATACGTTTAATCCCATAGAGATATACGTTTTCCTTATGAACGAGAGTGCCCAGAGTTTACGTTGGGATCCCGAGAATAGCAGAGCAGCGCCTTTCGACCATAGTATATTCCATTCGATCTCATTTTAGTTGTTAAGAATAACCATCTGAATATTGCACTGCCTGTATACACCTGGTTCCATCGGGGTCCAAATGCAGACATAATAGAGAAAAGCAGCATCATTCAGGATTCGCCTTGTTGCATTTCAAATAAATATTATGCAGGGAAATTGCTGTTTATTGGATTGCAGGGAAATTCTTTTAGCACCAGACTCCATGTTGAGCGCATTTTTAGTCACAGACGTAAACAGAGAGGGAGAGGCAAGTACTGAGTGCTATCTCTGTTGCTGACAGTTTTTCTGTCAGCTCGCCTGCAACTTTTCAAGTCCGTTCCGTGTAGCAAATAAGCGTAATCTTCAGCTAATGGCAATAATCAAGACGGGCGGCGCAGGAGGAAAGGCAACTGTCCTGCCCCGAGCCTGGCCTCTCACCTCATTAACGAGGCTCTAAAAGCCGGCACATAAACATGTTAGCACCTCTATGAGAATGGCCATTGAAATGGGTTTGGTTTTTGTTCCGGGGTGTGAGATGCAAGCGCTGGTCGGGCTCTAGTCTGCCTTGCCACCTTTGGCACTTCCCTCATGGACTCACAAATTCTCGCGCATGCATCATAAAATTATATGAGGCCCGGGCACTTGAGGAATGCGCCCTGAAGTGGTCGTTAGTGGGCAGGCGGACGGAAACGAGTTAATCGGACGAGGTGCGAGGGTGCCAGGGTGTGCGGGTGCGTGCTGCGTGGGTTCGGCGTTGTGCGAATGGCGCTAATTGCGGCTACCTGACAAATGTCGCACCTGCAGGACGCAAACAGCCGACAGCCGACAGCAAACAGCAAATGGGATGCGGCGCACGTGGCAAGGACAGCGACAGTGCCACATGGCAAATAAACATTACTGTTAAGCTACAGCTAGAGCAACAGCAGCAGCAGCAGCCCATCACATCAAAGGATCACCCACTGGGCCGCAGGACCTTTTTTTCGCACTGAGCTCCAGGCTGGCTAACAACGCCTGCTGGCCAATCGGGCCCAGTGACCAGGACAACAGGCACAGCCACAGCCACAGCCATAGCCACACAATACAATACAACACGCAACACGTAATTGTTCTTGCCTATTAGAGCCGAGAGCCAGCTAGTCGAAAAGGATATAAAAAAAGGAAAAACATCTGAAAGCAATCAGCGAACGAAAATTGCACAGAGAAGTCGAGAGCAGCAAAGGAAAAAGCGAAGAGGGCTTTCCGCAGGACATGCATGGGGTGAGCACGACTGCGTAATGCTCGCTCAACAAGCCAACGAGTGTCGATGCTCTGTAATAGACCCTATAATAATATGGAATAATAGAAGTACAACTACTTAGCTCTGTACGTGTCCTGATCGACTGCCCAATACTCGCTCGCCAGCTTAGCTAATGGCAGAGCTGCCTGAAGTGGGCTCGAATATAAATGCCTATAATGGAATCTATTATAATAAAAGTATGACTTATTGATCATAGCGCTCTATAGTAAGGCAGTATAACTACTTCATTTCATCTATGTGCTGATCGACTGCCTTATACTCGCTCAGCAGCAGCAGCTATTGCAGCTATTGCAGAGCTGGCTCAAGAGATGACTGTATGGAAAAGTACTCTATAATAAAATAGACTCTATTATAATAGAAGTATAACTCTCTTGTGATGTGATAGAACACTCTAAAGCATAGTAAAAGTGATCGAAACTCTGATCGGTTGCCCAATACTCGCTCAGCAGATCAGTGAGGTTCGCCATTCATAGAGCTAGTTGATGTTATTTGATGTATCACTCTATATACATTATAGAGCACACTGTAAAATAATAAGCGCACATCCAGCTCAGTCTACATATATACATATGTCCTGATCGACTGCGTGATACCCGCTCGGTAGATCCACTAGATTAGCCAAGTGCTGTGATGTGATGGAACACTCTATAATATAACTTGAATTGATCTCTGTAATCTAATATAAGCACATCTAGTTCTATATATAACCTGACCGACTGCATAATACTCGCTTAGCAGGTAGCAGAGCTCTCTTAAGTGAGCTCGAAAACAGAAAAGACTATAATATAATAGAATTGCATCTAGCTCACTCTCTATATGCATATGTCATGATCGACTGCCCAATACTCGCTCAGCAGATCAGCAAGGATCACTAAAGTTCCTGATCCCTTGTAGAGCTAGTGGATGTGATAGAACGCTTTATAATATTCCATGATGGAAGTACATCTAATTCACTCTATATATGTATGCCCCGATCGACTGCCTAATACTCGCTCGTCAGAGCTGCGAATTTCAGCAAATGCAGAGCTGATTGAAAAGAGCTAGAAGAGTGAGAGAGTTCAGCCTATATCAGACATGAACCAATATGCTCTCTGCAAAGTGTGAGCGAGTATTACAGCATGTCAGCGACTGGATATTGAAATAGGCTACAAGCTGCTAGCATTTCAAACTTTATGCGATATGGAAGAAACAAGACGTAAGCTAAGAGCAGTTGGCTAGCTATCAGCGGCGAGAGAGCGAGAGTGAGAGTGAGAGTGAGAGTGAGAGTGAGAGAGAGAAAGAGCTTAGCTTGCGCAGAGACAGGCAAAGGAGTAAGCCTTTGAGGAACAAAGCAAGCCAGGAGCTCACGATGTGACTTATTGATGCACTCAGCCAGTCGCTGGCAAAGAGGGGAGGGCAGAGCCAGCAAATTGAAAGCCAACAAAATGTTTGTCATGCCGCAGCTGCAGCAGCAGAGGACTGCCGGTGATGTCCAGGGAATGCGGCAAGTGGAGCTGCAAAGTGCTGGGCAAACAAGGACGTCGCGAAGTAATCAAAGCGAAACCGCAGCCAAAGCGGCGCGACATCAACTGAAAGAGAAGTTCGGTGCTCAATGTTTGCGTTGCTGTTCGCAGCGTTTCTATTGGCCAAGTAACATAAACACACACGCACACAGAGATGGGGGGAGACAGAGATGTACAGTTGGACTAAACATTGAACTCGTGCTTGTACTCGCTCTCCTCGCTGTCCTCGGGCTGGCGGCGCTCCAGCAGACGCAGTCGACGGTCGGGCGGTGGTGGGACCAGCATCCGGATGGAGAAGCGCCGCTGTGAGTCCTGGCTGCTGCCGGCCTGTGAGCAGGAGTCGGGACTTTCGTTCAGCGGACGGCGCTCCACGTGCCAGTGTACGCTGCGCGAGATCTTCGACTTGGTGTGCGGCTCAGGATCGGAGAGCTCCAGGGTGCATTCCTCCTGGCTGTCGGGGCAGTCGACCCGCAGATCGGGCAGGCTGCGATAGTTGGCGATGGCGTCGCTGCCCGCTGCTTGAGTCGGTATGGACAGAGGCTCTGGCTCTGGCTCTGCCTGTGGCTGTGGCTGTGGCTGTGGCTGTGCCTGTGGTGGTGGTGGCGGTGGCGGCGGATGGGTGACTACTTTTAGCGGAGCTGAGCTGCGTTCGGTTGACTCCAGTGGCTTGAACACGTCCAGGAAGCTGGGCAGCACGCCGGACCGCCGCTTGGCCGGCTCCGAGCTGCGCTTGTGCAGCGTCATGCAGAAGTTCTGGAAGCCGTGCACCGTGTGATAGGTGCGGCTGGACTCCTTGTCCTCGCCCTCGCTGCCAGCCGTGTCCGAGCGGTGGCGCGGCCGCACCACCGTGCCCGGCGACCAGGTGTGCTGGTAGTGGTCGGCATCCAGATTCACATGCCGCCGCTCGTCCAGGTCCAGGCGATCGATGGCGCTGTGCAGCTCCGGATCGTTCAGCGCCACCTCGCGGGCGAGGCGCACATCGTGCCGCCAGAACTGCTGATCCCGCTGCACCGCTGGCGCCACCTCCTTGATGCGCAGCACCACCACGCCCATCACCCACACGCACAGCACGTTGACCAGCGTGAGGGCCATGCTCACCGTCGCGCAGACGAAGAGCTCCACGTGCAGGTGCGTCGAGTAGTCCCGGTGCTTGGACAGGCTCTGCAGCAGATCCGGATCGATGTGGAACAGTCGGGTGCAGAGGGCGATGGCCCACAGCAGGCCGGCGTTGACGGCCGGCGGCAGCAGGGATGCCGATATGGCCACGCCCACCAGCGAACCAGTATTGCCGCCCAGCACGCCAATGGCCGCCGCCGCGCCGGAGACGAGCGCCGTGCAGAAACCGATGGCCAGCGAGTGGGTGTCGCAGCGCGAGATGATCTCGTCGGTGAAGCCGGTGGATAGCATGAAGAAGCGGCTCATGCCGCACAGGCAGACGGCGCAGCCGAAGAGGAAGCCGGTGCCCACGGAGATGCCAATGCCGATCAGCTCGTTCTTGATGCCCAGCCAGCGCAGTCCCCGGTCATTGATCACCGAGCCGAATATCGCCGCTATGATCGGGCCCATCAGCGGCGAGATGAGCATGCTGCTGGATAGGTACAGGAAGCTGTTCTCCACCAGGCCGACGCAGGAGAGCAGAGCGGCGACCATCAGCAGCACCACGAAGTCAAAGTTGACGGTGGCATCGCGGCGCACCATTCGCACCACCTGGTTCACGTTCAGCCGGCAGCGCACCGAGTCCACGAAGCTCTGCCAGCCCACGTGCTGGCCCTCATTCGTGTCCTCGTCGTAGGGTTCGAGCGCGCCCGCTGCTCCTGATCCGGCTCCTGCCGATCCATAGGCGCGAGATTTTGCCGCCGCCTCGAACGGCACGTTCGTGTCCAGGCAGTGGAAGGCCGTCACATGGGTGCCCGGCCGTTTGCCGATGCCCCACTCCTTCAGCGTGTAGAGCAGACGCTCGTAGAGCTCGTCCTGCTTCAGCTCGAAGCGCGCCTGCAGCTGCCCGCCGCCCAGATCATGTGACCAGAACACATGCTCCACCCGCAGCTGGACGACTATCTGGCGCAGCACCTTCTCCAGTGGCGCTGTCCGCTCCACACCCGGCAGCTCCAGGGAGTGGCTCCTGTCCGGCCGCTGCCGGCACTGGCCGCAGTAGACGGAGCTCCAGTTGTGGCAGGCGCAGCTGCACTCGATGTTGTTGTAGTTCTCGGCGTAGCGCTTGTTGTGCTGGCGCTGCTGCTGTGCCGCCTCCTGCTGGGCGGTGGGCACCGACACCATCACGCACACGTTTGCGTTCGGATTTGGATACATTATGACTTGAATTTTGTGATAGATACTAGCGGAATTTACGGTAATAGCGGTACTTGCAAAATTTGATGAATTCGCGGAATTTGGTTGCTTGAATTTGAATTAGCCCGAGCGTCCGAGCAAACGGATTTGGTCTATGGTTGTCCCGGCGCCAAACAGAGGCAAACGAAGACAATGCCTAATTTTAAAGATATTTGATTTATCTACACTCCGTAGCTGTCAGAGCTGAACTAGTTTGACTGCCAGCTGGGCCGACTACATAGCATTCGTATGACAATCGCAGCAGGCATCAATGTGGCTTTTCTTTCACTGTATTCTCGAATGGAATTTCATTACTATATTGTTCGAAACATTTAAATGTTGAGCAGCTCTGTCAGAAGTTGAATCAATTGCAATTAGTAAATGAAAAATAAATATTTATTTCAATAGCAAGCTCACTTAATCAACAATAATATTTGCCAGCCGAGAGCCCCAAGGGAATCGCAGAGAGGGGCATGACAGCGTTGAGCTTGGGCTGTGATTGTCGAGACAGAGATATATACCTAAAAGAATATGTGTATATAGAATAACCAGAGGACAACTGAAGTAATCATAGGAATCAGATCAATTAGAAGGAAAACCCGTTAGGAGCAGAGGCTTCTTTTGCTTTAGGGTGGACAGCGTAACATTCCTATCCTATCCTAAATAAATAACACATAGGCCGTATAGAGCCTGCCCTGGCTAGACCATTAACATCTATTTTGCTCCTCAGCGAACTCTCATTAGTGAGCATGGCTGAGCCGTAACCGAAAACTGTTGTTCTGCTAGGAGGATGTTGCTGCTGCTGCCGGCTCCTGCTGCTGCTGCTGCTGCTGCCTGCATCCTGTTTGACAAGGTGCCAAGTTGCACGTGTCCTGTTGCCGCATAATCAAGACGGTGGCCAGGACCGAAGGAAGCGGCAAACGGAATGTCAACAAACTGCAGGCAGCCATGAAATATTATGAGGCCGTTTGGCTGCGACGTCTGCGGCTTGGCAGTAATAACACACAGCACAAAGTTCTCTTTGGGCGGCAGCTGAGTGGCGGAGAGCAGCAGCAACAGCAGCAGCGGAAGCGTGCAGTTGCTCCTGCTCCTGCTGCTGCTGCTCCTGCTCCTGCTCCTGTGCAAAGAAAACGCATGTGAACCGAAATCGCGCAAAAAACGCACTCAAAACGAGCAACAACAACAACAATAACAGCATCGGCTCAATGCAACCATTGTTCTGTAAACACACACACACACACACACATGCATATATAGACTCACCCACACATATGTGGCATTTTTTGTGCTGCATTCATCGGTGTCCATTATCCAGCGGTATTTGTTTGTTTGTTTTTCCATTTTTTTGTTCGCCTCTTTTCCTCTCGTTTTTTTTCCTGCCACGCCCTTTTCCATCTGCCATTTGGCAGTCTCACAGCGTGTGTGTGTGTGTGCTTTACCGAGATCAAGCGTCAAAATTACATTGTTGGCATACGCTGTGCAACTTTTTGCGCCATTCGCTGCCGTTGGCCAACATTTTATTTTGTGCCTTTTGCGGTGCTGCCGCCCCTTGGTGGCATGCCTCGCGTTTCCTGCGCGGCGCGCTGTCGCGGCCAGCAACAGCATGGCGCTCTTGTTATTGCGACTCCTGTTGCTGCCTCTTGGTCACCTCGAAATCCTTTCCAGCCAGCCAGCCAGCCGGCCAGCCAGCCGGCCATCCAACCAACAAGCCGATCAGCCCATTGTCTGGTCTGCTTTGGTCTGCTCGTTTTTTGGCTGTCCGCAAAATGTGGGCGTCACAAAACGAAAACGACAACAAAATAAGAGCGTAGAGCAACAAAAGAATCAATTGAAATAGCTAGCCGAAGAGCAAATGCCCTTTGCTATAAATTGAAATTCTGTATAAATCGTAATCAAATTGTTGCTAGATTTTCGGGGCAGCTAAACTGAATAATCCTATTAATAACATAATAAATAAATAATTTGAAAATATTTATTAAAAAATATTTATTTATTTTATTGTCACAAGGAATTAATTCAAAGGCCTTGAGGCGCATTCATTTTTTATTTAAAAAAAAAATTATAAAATATATAATATAAAATATAAAATATATTATAAAAAAAAAAAGTATTTATCTACATTATATACATTATAGTTCTATGTTTAGTTGCTTAATTATTTTTAAAATTTATAGAAAATTTTTAATTTTCGCTTTATTGGATATTCAAAAATAAGTCGAGTCTCGATAATTTGTATCCCACCTAATCGAAAAACACGTTAAATCGAGTAAAAATTGTATTCCCCTAGCAAAATTCGTTTTCGATAATTCTCGATAATTTGAATTACTGTGCAAATCGAAAAAATACTTATGCCCTTGACATTACGAACTATTGAGACTCGACTGTATATAATATATATATATATATA